TCTGCTCTTTCCCCTTCCTCCTTTTTTTTCCCTACCCCCCTCTTTCAGGTAAACAAAGAAGACTTACATATAACCTATATGCAGCTCTATTTAGGAAACAGACTACACTAATCTAGGATACCATTTCCCAGTTACAATTAGCTGAAACATATTAGGAAAAGAAATTATTCTAATTGATATTTTGATGATTCTAGTGGTTATTTTCCCATAATTAAATGGTGGTAAAGCTCTTTTATGCTGATTAGTACTTAAAAGTGTATTCTCATTAAAGATTTATGTCATCATTTTGCACCTAAAGTATCATTAAATTCTATAACAAAAGCATGCTTTATATTAGCAAGTCTAATAATATAATATACCTTTAATTGATGGTAAATGTTCATCTTAAATGTAGGTCTATCAAATAAATAAAAGGATTGATTGATGAGTTTAAGTATTGAAATTGAAAAGACAAAAAGAGGGCCAAACTTAGAAAAGTATTGCTAGTGCAGTCCAAATTCAAATACCATTTGGTAATTGGATCATATCTGAAGCTGTAGATATCGAATTTAGGTCCACTTTTTATGGATGGAAAGGTAAGACATAGACCTTCAACTTTTATGTGGACTCAAAGACTCAATTCTGTCGTTTTTAAGTTCAAATCTTAGCAACAACAAAGAAGTCAGAAGTTGTCCTACAGCTCAAACACTATTCAGTTTTTAGCTCATATCTTGAGTTCTAGAAATCCAAATGAGATCTAGTTTTTTTTGTTGGAAAGATGAGACAATTGCCCACAACTTTCATAATTTAGGGGGCTATAATTCTGATTTTAGCAATGATGTTTTGGCCAGCCAACAATATCAATAGTCGACCCATAATATCAAAAAAACAGTAGCCACCAATGTCAAAAACCAGCCACCAAATCAATGGATGGCCACCAATTATTCAATCAATCAATAGTTCTGAATCTTAGTCTATAAAAGGAGGCATTTGCCATATATTTAGTCATATTAATTTTCAGATCAAAGTCATCTTCTTGCTTTTTCTTTATATCTTTATAATGTTCAAGTTTTCTTTCATGCTATATTAATCTTTTGTTTATGCCTTTTCATTTCATTTTCTATACTTAGTTAGCTTATATTATGTTTATGTTTTTATATTGTTTATTTATGTTTTTCTCCTTCTTAATGTTTAGCTAAGTTAATTATGTCAAGATGAAAAGGTTTCTCTAATGGTGTTATAATAGGTATAATATAAACTCAACATGGACTTTAATGTTTATATCCAAGAAAGATTGTTATTAACATGTTGTATCTTTTTATCTTACTAATTCTTAATACCTTGCTTATTAAATGGTTAATCTATATTTGTGTTGTATAATACTTGGTATATCAAATGCTTGATCCTTCATAGTTTTTGGCTGACATCGTTATTATGATAGGAACTTGATTTGTTGTTAACATAAACTAGCAACATGAATGCTTGATGATATATATAAGTATGATGTTACTTAGATAAGATGATTAATATGATCATGTTAATAATTTATAATGAACTAATAATGAGAAATCATCTGATTGAAACCTCCTTTGTGTGTGATTTCTAGTTGAGTAATAAAAAGAGTTTATATTATATTTATTTGAAATACCATTAGTGAATCCTATAGCCTTGATATATATTTTATTATTGTTTAATCCTTACATCAATATCACATCCTAAAACTTTCTTTAACTCCTTTTCTGTTATTTTTCTCTTCAAATCTTTTTCTTTATTTGTAATTTATATAATTCACCTCCCTATGCTTCGACCCCGGTCTTGCCGGGTTATTTTACTTTAACACTTCTACATTTGGGATAAGATATCAACTCTTTGATCGTGTTAAGTTTTTGGCGTCGTTGCCGGGGAGGTAAGTTATTGTATAAATTAAATATTTTATTTTATTTTCACTTTTATTTGTTTTTCTAATTGTTGTTTCTTTTTCCTTTTTTTTTTCTTTTCTTTTACATTTGCATGAGAGTTTGGACACGTACATTAAGTGGTAGACTTTTTTAAAGAAAAGGAAATTGAATTTGGGAATGACCCAAAAATGGATTACGACAATTGCCTCTCTCTTTATAATGCTTACAGAGCAAAAATCTTCTTAATGTTTTGTGTAGTAAGCTTTGTAAAGAAAAACAAAAAACAAAATGGCATATTTTCACAGGCGACCTACCCATGTACACTCACATTAGTTTATTTTCACGGGCAACCGACCCATATATATTTATCCTAGTCTATTTTTAGGGGCGACTGACCCACGCATATCACATTCATTTTAGTCTATTTTCAAGGGCGATCAACCCACACACACTTATTCCAGTCTATTTTTATGGGTGACCTACCCAAGTGGAAAAAGGGGAAGAGTGGTTTCATTATAATGGATGACCTACCAAGGTGAAAGAATGATCTTGTTGTAATGGGTGACCTACCCAGAAAAAAAACATAAAGAAATAATCTCATTGTAATGAGTGACCAACCCAAGAAAAAAAGAAAAGGGTGGTCTCATTTTAATGAGTAACCTACCCAAGTTGAAGAATGACTTTATTATAATTGGTGACCTATCTAGATATAAAAAACATGAGAATTTATCGATTTGTAATGGGTGACATACCCAGAAAAAATGTTGGTCTCATTGTAATGGGTGACCTACCCAAGTGGAAGAATGACCTCATTGTAATGGGTGATTTACCCATATAAAAACACATGAAGAATTGATTGTGTTGTAATGGGTGATCTCTTACAAAAAATATTAGTTTTATTGTAATAGGTGACCTACCCGAGAAAAAATGAAAGAGTGGTCTCATTGTAATAAGTGACCTATCCAAGTGGAAGAATGACCTAACTGTAATGGGTAACCTACCCAAGTAAAAAACATAGAGAATTGGTAGCGTTGTAATGGGTGACCAATTCAAAAAAAGGATGGTGAGGGCTTAAAGACATACTCGAAAGGAGGTAGAGTTAGAAAATGCATTACTCAAGAGATGGCGACTCAAAGACATACTCGAAATGAAGTGAAGGCACAAAGACGCACTTGAAATGAGATAGGATTAGAAAATGCACTACCTAAAGGATGGTGCCTCAAAGGCACATTTGAAAGAAGATAGGATTAGAAAAACACACTATCTAAGAAGTGAGGGCTCAAAGGCACACTCGAAAGGAGGTAGGGTTAGAAAATACACTACCTGAGAAATGGTGGCTCAAAGGTGCACATAAAAGAAAGTGAGGGCTCAAAAGCACACTTGAAATGAGGTAGGGTTAGAAAATGCACTGCCCAAAAGGTGATGATGAAACATCGATATGATAATGTTGAAAACAATGCATTATGATCAATATGCATGTATACTTACCTGAGAAATATAGGTCCCCATTTCTTTATGGTGTCTTTCTTTTCTCAAAAGTTAGAGTGTTGGTAGTAAACTTTGATGGCTTTTTCACTCTTGCTTACTCGAGTTATATCTTGTGATCTTGAAATTTAGGAAAAAATTGATGTCATTATACTTCTTTGTCCTTCACCTTTTATCTCAAGGGTTGTCAATTTTTGCCCGACATTTTTCTTAGGAAAGGAATCATGGAGCCCTCTATCATGCATGTTTGATTGTTCCCTAGCTTGATCATGCCTCCAAGTATTTAATTCGGGTTTACGGATGAGGCTATATGAAGGAAATTTTAATAAGGAGTTGTTTTTATATGGAATTTTTTTTTGAATTTCAAAACTATTCCAGACACAGATATCATTTTGACATTGATTCAAAGAAAACTTGTTTAGAAGAAATTCAAGTTGTTTTCAGAAGTGATGAAAACTTTTTGTTTTGCTTTTGATGAAAAATATAAAGTGATACTTAGTTGGTAAAAAAGGTTTAAGATTTAATTTGAGGGTTTTAAAGAACCAGCCTTCAAAACATTTATTTTATTTGCATGAATAATGATTTGGTTTACATGCGAAAGCATTGCCTATCGATCCAGATTACTTGCCTTTGATTAGAAATGGCTTAATTATGCATGTAATGTAGGCTTGAGCTCTTGGTTATGAAAAAAAAAAGATGTTTGTAGGCTCAAAAGGTGTTTAAGGGATTTCAAGACTAAAGATCACTTGTGCTTGTTTCTTGACCTTTTGTCATTTGAATGTCTTTCCAAAATGGTCTAATCATGCCCCCTAGTGCTGGGCTTGGGATTTTCATTTGTTTTTTTCTTTGTTCACTTGGTTGAGCATCATTATATCAATTATTTTTGTAAAAAGCTCAATTTTGGACTCTTTGGTCTTTTCTTCATGCCCCTAACTTTGTTTGGACACTTTTAAGAATTTTCTTTTATGCCTCCTAGTGTTGCTGACACGACTAAAAGATTGATGTCTTCTTCCAAGTGCATGAGTGTCAAAATAGTAAATAACCTGGTAAGACCGGGATCGAACCACAAGGAGGTTAATTGTACAAATTATAAATAACAAAAATACAACAACAACAACAACAACAACAACAATAATAATAATGGTGGTAGTAGTATTAATAATAATAATAAAGAAAAAGAAGGAGAAGAAGAAGAAGATGATGAGAACTTTGAGATGGACTATTAATGTAAGGATTAAAAAATGGTAATAATAAATATCAAGGTTAGAGGTTCCACTAATGGTATGTCAAACAAGTATAGTATAAACTCTTATTACTCAATTGGAAACCACACACAAAAGGGGTTCCAATCTGATTATAGATTGTTAATATAATTATATTAGTCATCTTATTCGATTAATGCTAATACTTGTAAATCTCATTAAATATTCATGATTATAACTTATGTTAACAACAAATCAAGTTCCTTTCATAGCTCAAGTGTCGGTTATATTATATAGTATGAACTATAAAAGTGTCAAGCAGTTGTTGTACCAAGTGTTATACAACATAAATCAAGATTAATCATTTAACAAGCAAAGTATTAAAGAGTGAACAAGATAACAAATACAAAACATGTTAGTATCAAACATTAAAGTCCATATTAAGTTTACACTATACTTATTCTTACACCATTAGTGTAACCTTTTCACCTTGACATAATAAACTTAGCTAAACATAATAAAAGAAAAAAAATAAATGAAATAAGAACATAAATAAGATAAGAGTTAACTAAGTAAAGAAAAAGAAATGAAAGGCATAAACTTGATATTAATGAAAGCAAAACATAAACATTACAAAAAATACAAAGAGAGAAAGCAAGAGTATGATCTTGATCTGGAAACCAAGATGCCTAAATACATGGCAAATGCCTTCTTTTATAGGTCAAAATTGGGAACTATTAATTTGATGAGTGGGTGACCAACTCTTGACTTGGTGGCAATCCTTATCTCCTTTTGTCTACCCAAAACGTCATTGATAACGTCAAAATTGAAGTCACCTGAAAACATGAAAGTTGTAGAAAATTGTCTTAGATTTCTTGTATAAAACATTTAGCTCATTTGGACTTCAAGAACTCCAGATATGGGCCAAATACTGAACAGTGCTCGGGCTAGAAGACAGATTCAGACTTCTTTGTTGTTGCTACAATTTGGACTTGAAAATGACCTTTTTAGATCTTAGGCTTTATATGAAAGTTATAGGCCTATGTCTTACATTTGCATCCATATAAAGTAGACCTAAATATGAGATCTACAGCTCCAGATATGACCCAATTACCAAATAGTGTTTCGGTTTGGATTGCACCGGCATCTCTTTTCTAAGTTTGGTCATCTCTTTGTCCTTTCAATTTTAGTTTTTAAATTCATCAATTAATCCTTTCATTTATGTGATAGGCCTGCATTTAAAATAAACATTTACCACAAATTAAAGGTATCTTATATTATTAGATATATTATTATAAAACATGCTTTAGTTAAGGAGTTATTGATACTTCAAGTGCAAAATAATGACATAAAATCTTGATAAAAAATACACTTTTAAATATTAATCAGTTGCTTAGACACTTTTAATCATTAAGGTTTTTTATATATCTCTCGCATTTGCTCCCAACGTAGGATGTGATCCTAGCTAAAGTTATTTTCAAAAAATATTACTAAGCTCAAAAAGGGTTTGCAAATGATATATTTTAGCATTGTGAAAGAATTATCAAAGAAGGCCTCTCCTCATTTCAAATGCATACATTTAGGATCGATAAGCCTTGCTTTCATGTGAATATGCAAAGTGATTTCTCTTTATTCATTCAATTAAAACTTGGTTTTTAGAGTCATTTCATGGTTCTTTTTACTTTTTTGTTTTTTTAGGTTTTCTAGGTGTATGGTTACCTTTTTAAGGAATCACTTGAATTTTCAGAACTCGCTTGTTATGGACAAACACCAATATGATTTCTATCTTGTATCAAAAAATTTGAATTCTAAAAAAAAAATACTTTATGAATATGTGAGATCATACATAATTTTAGAAGAAAAAAGGGAAACACATCAGTGGTTTTGTGGGTAAAGGTTGTGCTTAGTATGTTATTTGTATGAAATGGCAATAAAAATAAAGGTAAATTATGAACACATGAAAACACATGATCTTATTTAATAAGAAGAGCTCATTTGATAGAGAAAGTCTTGTGGCATTATGAGCCAAATTACCATAAAGACTGAAACAAGTTAAAACTAACATGATCAAACAAAAGACAATAATAGGGCACGCTTCATCATCTCATTTTGACAAATCTCCTCTTAAGCTAGCTTCCTTATAACAGCTTTTATAGAGGACTCATGGACAAAAACTATGGTTAAGATTCAAGACCTTTAAAATTTATGCTGTTTTTTTTGCACCCTATCTAGATCATTAGTGCTTCCAGATTTCCTAGACATTCCATCGCTAGTGCATTTCTGATCTACCACTTCAAGCATGATTAGGTAGAGGGTTCATATTCATATTAGAAGTATCTTCCAGTTTTATCCACCATGTTTTGATTAATTGTAACAGTTTTCTTTTGAAGGTGTTGCAAGTATTGATACTATGTCCAACAACACTAGTATGGTATTTGCAAGTGAGTTCTAGCTTGTACCAGCTAGGGTAAGGTGGTTGCACCGACGTCAGAGGTTCAAGAGCTACATGTCTGATGCTTAATACCTTCTGGTACATCTTATTTAAGGGTAGTGGTAATAGAGGTAGTTTTTTTTTACCCTTTAGTAATTTCCAATTCGGCTTTTGGCTTGAAAGGCCTCATGTTTTTTTATGCTGGCAATTTGGACGGAGTGTGGTAGTGACCATGTTCACTCATTCTTTCTTTGGGCTAAGTGATTTGATTAAAGGTGACCGGTTGGTTAAAAGGACCTTCACTAGAGGTATTTCTCAGTGTTTGCTCGAGTAAGCTAGTGAAACAAGTTACACTTGTCTTCAGAGAGTCCAACTCTTCTTGAAAATAGGCATCATGGTGAGTTTGCTCTTCATCTTCCATGTTTCTTGCTTGAAGTTGGGTGTTGTAGACTCTTTAGGGACCTATATTTCTACTTGATGTATATATGTATGTTATTTACAATGAATGGATGTATATGTATGTTGCAAATGTATATATATGTATATTAGAGAGTTCATACTCTAAGAATAGGCTTGAGCCATTACATGATGGGTGGCTTTCTACCTGGTCTCAAAAGAGTCTCTTGCTGTCCTAGTGATCACCCTCATGAAGGCAATTTGGGGGCTTAGTAGGTAGTGGGATGGCATATGCACCAATCATTACTAGTTTAAACACTCAGCAAAGAGTTGAGGTTTATACAAACTTAAACATTGACTAAAAGTCGTAAAGTAAGTTGCTAGTCCCCTACTTAACCTAAAGTTTTTCTTAATATAAATTCTCATAAAATATGAATAATGCATAAAATAATTTTATACAATGCATGAATAAATATATAAAAATTTAAAGTGTATGAGCAAATGAGGAAATGAAAATTAACAATAACACAAAACCAAACAGTAAAACATGATAATCAAACAAAAATAAAGCTTAGTCCACAAGGTCCCTAGTGGAGTCGCCATTATGTCGCACGTGTGCGGCATTGCGGCGATCGCCTACCCTCATATGTGTGTATCTTGAAAATATAGGGAGACAAGGAATTCTTGTCTTTTATTAGTAGAAAAATAGGATAGAAGTCGCCACCTAGTATTTTGGTCATTAAGAACCCTAACTAGTCTCAGAGATCAGGTACGGGGATTGATTGCATATAGAAAAGGTATTATGACCCTAAATACGTCCTACCTAAAATAAGCTGTATTGTTTAATTATCTGACAAATGCTAATGTTTCATTGTATTTCTAATTATTGGTCTGTCTACGGTTTAAGAAAAGTCTTTCTTAATAAAAAGATCTTTATCTTATCAGGTAAAACCTAATTGTCATAACATCAATAAAAAAAAACTACCTTTTCAATATTGAAAATATGTTTTACATATAAATTTGTAATTCCTAATATTAAAAGAAAAAAAATATTTTTTTGGAATTTTTTAAGTATTGGTCAAGTTCTCGTAACTTTAATAAACTGGTTATTAAAGCCAAAAATACATGCTAATTTTTTTTTTAGTTTTTCTTTGTTGTATGAAAATACAATATGAGTTTTTTTAGCTTTGAGAGACTTTGTCGTATGCATGGAAACAAAAACATATATATTTTTTTAATGTTTTGATGAATACTAGATATTTTAATATCGGATTTGTATTTGTAAGATATAAAAATACAAACCAATATTAAGCAAAACTTAGCAAAAAAAAAAGTACACAGAAGAATCATAATTTTTTGAAAATATTTTTTTTGGATCGAGCCGAACCTAGCCTCCTCATTTTAGGCTGGGCTCGACTTGTCCGACCCAGTAAATAGTGGAGCACTCTCCACTGTTCATGCAGAACAGTGGAGACATTACAACGAAGAAGAAGAAGAAGAAGGAAGAGGGGGGACCTGCGATGGCCTTAAGGTTGTGCTGTTGGCTGTTGCTGACCAGAGAATGACTTGGATAATGGTCGGCCTTTCTTCTTCTTCTCTGTGTTTTTTTCTGCTCTATTCTCCTCTGTTTCTATTTTTTTCAGTGTTTCTTCCTCTATTTCTTACAATGTAGGGGCTATTATTAATGACGGGAGGACAGTGGTAGTTGGCGGTGGCTCT